ACTGCTCCCTTGCCTGGCATACTACAGTGTCATGAAAGGGCTGTTCAAGAGGAGACAGTAAAATAAAGCAGTGAAAAAATAAATTTAAGCATACGTAAATCCTGTCTCTCCATTTGCATAACCAGTGACAAGTAGTGAAGTTATGGAAGCAGGTGTTACTGCTCAGCAGGATCAGGTACAGATTCTTGGTACTTGTTTCTCCTCTACTCACGTACATTGTTAACCATGTCAAATTGCCTATCTTGAGTTAGGCGTTACATCAAATCAAACCCTAACTATTTCAGTATGTCTGGAGAATGCTGTAATTGAAGCAGATTGTATCAGTTGCAAATAGTTACTCCTAGCATTTGTATCCCTGTTGTATTCGGGATGTTGCAGTACGGGAAAAAGCTGGATAACAAAGAAACTGCACATATAACACCGAAGGCAGGAAAGTAACCCTAGGCCTGGGATGTCTTTTTGTTTATTAATATAGCTTGCTCTTTCCTTCTTCCCTTTCCTGCTTCAGAAATGGTGCTCATTAAGAGAGTTCTCTGCTGATTCCTGTTTTCCAGCTGATCCCAAGCACTAAAGCAGTGCCAGGTGAGCATGACTGTGCCCTGGTGAGAGGAGCACTGCTGTTTCCTCTGAGTGACTGTGGGTGTTTGCTTGGAAAGTGGCTGGAATTGTGGAATCCTCCACAAGTCCCTTGCAAGTCTTTCCAGCTTTCTAAAAAGAATCCATCTTCAATGCCATTTATTTACTTTTATTTATTTATTTTCTTTCAGTAGCCACATTCCTGGTTTTAGCCACCTTGCCAAAAGCACACGGACCAGAACAAGCAGAAAAGTGTTTTTCATGGAAATCTTCTTTCCAAGATTGAATGACCCATAAGCACTGTGTCTTTTCTGGCTGTGCAGACAGGCCTGTACCAACCAAGTGTTTCTCCTGTAGGAACCCACAGCATCCAGACAGGTCTGAATGGGTGCAGTGTGTGGAAACACACTCCTGGGGAGCTGATACACGGCAGTGTTTATACAAGTAATTAAACTACGAATATTGACTATGCTTATGCATGTGTTTGCCCTGAATCCCATTTCCTTATTGCCTCCAGAGCTGCTGCTGCATCCATGCAGCAGTTTCTTCGCAGCTGTTTTCTCTTCATGTAAACCTTCATCCCTCACAACACGTGCCCCCCAGGGCCTCCCATTTGCCACTCTTTGCTTTTTAGGGGAAAAAGTCAAGTGTGAGAGGCTGCGTGTGGCTCCTTCTGATGCCTGAGGGACCCCGTGTGGCTTCTAGGAGGTTCCACAGAGCTTCCTGTCAGTGCCTTGGGGCAGCCACCACCTTGTTTATCACCTGTGGCTCTCCAAAAAAAAAAAAACAATATCTAAAAATGCTGAAAACAACACAGGTGTGTTTTGTAATTTTGTAGTTACCTTTTTTAATCTGTGGTGGTAGAACCACACTGCTCCTGTGCTGTAGGGCTCAGGTTGTGGCAGTGAGTACAGGTCAGGTAGCAGGTGTGAGGAGGCTTTCCTCCTGCTGGAATAGTATCTTGGTCCATGGGGAGACAACATTTCTTTGCAAAGCACTCCTCTGACTTAAAAATAATACATAATAGCTATAGAATTACCAAATGTCAAGTAAACAAAAAGTTATTAAGGATGACCTTATTAGTTCTCCCTGCAATTCGCAGAGCATGGTAATTGTCAAGTCTCACTGTTATTCGGTTGAAATAATAGTTTGGGGACCATCAACATTAAAATTTCATTATGATGGGACAAAAAGGCTCATGTATAATCAATAGTAAGAATCCATTATTATTGACTTGAAATGAATGAAGCATGAATGCATTTGTGCATCTGAACAGTTAGCAATCTTTTGAATAATAAAGAGTTAACGCCACACAGGTAATGCCATTCTGGGAATTGGACTCAAACTTGAATTGGTACATGTCTCTTTATTATGAAGTCTAATTTGCATCCCTTGGTAACTTCCATTAAGCTGTTTCTCAAAATACAATGTCTAGGATTTAGTATATTCTCAGGTCTGGCTCATGAGGGAGCTGGGTGAGCTGGGCAGGGCTATTTTCAGTGGTACCACTGGGAGTACAGCTGCACCAGGATGCTGTGGATTTATTGCGCATGGATGGGTGGGAGCAGGAAGGGAATGTGCAGCTGTTTTCTGCTGTCCTGACCTTGGAGCAGTGCTTTGGTACAGCAGCGTGTTGCTGCTTGCATTGCAGATGCCAAGCTGAAAGACGGAAGGGGTGTTGAATGCCAAATGGAGAGGAGTGCAGAGCCTGTGGAGCTTGCTGGCTCCTGGAGACATAGCCAAAGTCATGGACGTGGTGTGCAGTGTTACCTTGTCTGCTGTACATGATGTGCCGAGACAAGCTGTTCCCAGCATGTTCTCTGTCACTGTGGGATATGTCACATTGGTGCTATTGTTAGTCTCGTTTTTTTCCAGTGAAGAGGTGGACCCAAAATACACTTAATGACTTGCCTTTTTTTAATGCACTAAGTCTGATGCATTCAATTTCTTCCAACTGCACTTTGATTTTCTATAAACTAAGTGCCTTTGAAAAGTATTATTTAAGCGTATTTTAACCGTGCTTGTGGACTAACAACTGCTTTTCAGCATTATCTTCTGGCTCTAGTTCCATCGTGCTGGTTTGCAGCTGCTAAGATACCCAGAATTGTTTGAATTAGCAGTTGACTTTAGACTGCTGTTTTACAGGGAAGAAAGTCTCGGTTGTTCCATGTCTGCCTCTACTATTATAATGAAGAGCCTTGAACATGCAGCATTACTTTGAGTTATGTATTGTCCTCGGTGCTTCGACATTTTGTCAAATTCTCTGTCATGGAGTCCTTCCGTAGGGTTTTCTATCTTCCTTCTATGAGGAATCCTCGCTCCAAGCATTGGATGTATAAACTCACAAAAGCTTTCCATATGTGTGCTGACCCAGCCAGACAGAACATAAGAACAGGCCCTTTCCCTGTCTTTTTTCAAGTGCTGACTGGCTTCCTTCTATAGAATGCTTGATTTCTGTAGGAAATAGGAGAGTCAACTGATGCCTTAAAAAGAAGAGACCTTGACAAGCTCAGGGAATCTGGAAAGTCACTGTTTTGTTTCCCCACCCCCCAACTGTGAAATTGCAACAATCATTTTCTTAGTCAGTGGAGAGGGAAGATAATTATTTATTACTTGCATTACAATGGCAGTAAGGACTTGTTGGGCTAGATGCCCAGAAATTGAAAAGTTATTTAAAGAATTTTAAGTCTGTATCTTCATTATTTTTCTTGTTGTTTTTTTTTTGTTTTGTTTTGTTGGTAGTTTTTTTTTTTTTTTGAAAGGCACCAATAATACTTTAGATAGGAACCTTGGAGGTGATTAAGTGCCATATTGCAGTGGCACCTGCTTTAATTTATTAGAATGGGTCTAATTATGAAAAAAAGAGAGAGAGAGAGAGAGAGAGTCTTTTCCTTTCAACTTTTACTAATAGTGTATTTTCTCTTCCCTATATTTAACTTTCAGCTGTTTTTCAGAGGGTAAGAGAGGAGAATAATTGAGACACAAAGGACAGTAACCCAGCTGAGCAGCCCATCTGTTGCTGGGAGGAGCATGGAAAGGAATGAAGGAAGGTACCACCAGTAAGGCCTTTAGATTCTTCTCCCTCTCCTTTGTGGATGGGGAAGAGAGGAAAAATCAGGCCTAATACCTGGAGACAAGGAGGATTACACTGCTTTATTTCCAGTGTAGTGTTCTTGGAGAAGAAGGGGACTAGAACAGGGAAGATCTTAACCTTTCCAGAAATGAAGGGCAGAGATCCAAATCATCGTAGAGCTTGTGAACATATACTTAAATTGAGTACCAAAATCCTGTTTGACAAAACAGTGCATGTGTGAGCACATGCCACAGTCAGTAAGTTGTTCAGAACAGCAGTAACAATGGGCATACCTGAGAATATATAAGTCTAGGGAGGAGGAAACCTTTTTTTTGTCATCTTGTCAGATCTCCTGCTGATTCATAAAATGGGTGAGATGCCAAAAAAAAAAAAAAAAAGAGCTAAATATTCCCAGGAATTATTTCATAGTTAAAAAATGCAATATTATTGTATTCCCAACACCGAGTATTCATCACAGATACAGTTCTGTAATTATAATTATTAACCATTAATCCCTTAACCAGATCTGAATGATTACTGCAGTTTGTCTACCTAGAAGAATCTTAATTGTCTCCCACTGAGTTGCATATACTTGCTTTTCATTTTAATACTAAAACTGATTTCAAGTAATCCATTTGAAATGTGATCTTTTTAGCATAGCTACGTTTTCAGTGAGGTTGTAATTTTAACCTCCACGTCTTTATTGTTCATATTTAAAACTAGGAAATTTTTTTGACAGTCTGATCTCTCGTGCTTCCTCGGGGTGTCTGCTTCCCTGCTGTGCTGTTTGATTCCTGTTGACATCTGTTTGTGTTTGCTTGCATTTATATACAAAAGTTCTTGATTAAGAACAGGTAATGTATAGGAAGAGACTGACTTGAATTCTCATCATGGATAAAATATTTCAGTTCAATCTGTCTTGTAATCTATTTCAGAAACTTTGAGGCAAATGATAAAGATATCATGCTTCTATAAAAAGTACCGTTTCAACTAAAAGCATTTACTTATAGTTTGTAATTGTTTTTTTTTAAGTAGTATTTATAGGGAGTAAATGCAGTGCAATTTACAGTAGTTTAAACCAACCGTGAGAATACTTCATGCTCGTAAGCTGCGTTTCGCTTCTAAACTGTTACAAAAACCCAGGAGACAATGAATTTGCACACATACATTTTAAAACCCGAGTTTTCTTCCTTTTTTTTTTTTTTTTTTTTTTGTATACATAGAAAAGCTACTACTTTTCTGATTTGCTACCCTATCTCTCTGACCTTGTTTTTATTACCGTAGTATACCTGCTCCCAAATAATTGCAAGTATATGCAAGATCTAATTTTATTCCTTCTTTTTCTTACCAGCTGGAAAGCATGTAATAGTGCTGAAGAGATGCAAAAAGAAGATGCAATTCTATTAAGGTAAGAGCATATCTGAACTCAATAGCAGCCCTTCTTGTATGATCTCTCCACTAATGGAGTGCTTTGGATTAGAGAGAAAGATTTTATTTTTATTTTTTTAAGCAATAAAGTAACCTACTCACAGAACTATTGGTGTTGGTACTGCTATTTCTGCTTATGCATAGAAGCCAGTATAGTGACAGGAACTGCACGTTTTTACTTCTTTGTGGTTTATTTTTATTAGATGATGGAAATAAGTCTGCCAGTTTGATGTTATAGTGCCCTTTATATTTAAAACAATGACCTTAGCATTCCTTCAACTGAAGAATCCAAGTTCAAACAAAAACAATTAGTTTGTCAACACTTTCTACACAATTTATAGAAATTGATTCTTTTCAGTAAAATGAACCGATACAACTTGGTTGATTCACTGTGCAGTTATAAAGACTTTATAATCATCCTAATCAAATTGGCAAGACCTGCCATGTTCAATGCCCTTAAAATGAAGAAGAGGTGTGAGCCACTGAGAAATGGAAGTCTAGTCTTAAAAAACAAAACTGATACTTTCTCTCGAGTGCAAAAAGCATTTTAAAAATTTAGCTTCTTTTTCTATGTCATTTTCATGACTCAGAAAGTGATTCTGAATTCCAGAAAGACTGTGAAGTTGACTGAATTTTTGAGTGATGGTAGGAAGATTTTGGAGGGGAATATGTTGCTTACATCATTTTCCAAGAGTTTCAATTCTTGTTTAAACATATTCCAGTCTTTGATCTGGCAGATTGACTAGAAGTCTGTTGGCATCTGATATTTTAACTTTTAAAAATTTCTGCCACTGCAAAATTTCTGTGAGGAAATTCTTTTTCTCTTGGCTCCTTTCCCACATGGCAGGTGACCGTGAGATACCTTGACTTTGACAAGACCTAGATCTGGCCTTCAAAGACATGTGGGATGGAGAGAGGGGAGAAAATCCCAACACTGAGTTTTACAGTGCATTTTAATCACAGAGAACCTTGCTTGCCTATCCACAGTTTATTATTTCATTATTCTGATTTTATTTAATTATTTAATTTTATTATTATTACCAGCTTGTCTTACCTACAACTCTGTAGAGAATGCTGTGGCAACTTAGAATAGTGGGGTGTCTCAGTTGTATCAATGTATCAGTTGTTGATATCCCTCAGTTACAGCCAACTGTAAAAAGATTTTGCCTATTACAGGTTATTATTCTCCCTGTAATGCTAGAGTTCCATTATGACATTCATTATGTCATGTAAAAAGTTCTTTTTAATTATATATTGATAAACACACATATTGTAATTTTACAGAATATAACATGTACCTTTTTTAAAAAAAGCTCGATAGCTTCCACCCTATGATGCACTATGTGAATTTAGTATTCTTGAGCAGCCTTCTTTTTAGCGAATATGTTTATGCCACATGTAAAAATGAGCTCAGATTTATACCTAATGTGTGTTCATATTTGTCATACTTGCATATCAAAGGCATAACTGAAAACTAGTTTCAGTGACTTAACCTCTGTACCATCACAATTTGGTTTATTTAACAAAGGGTTTGATACTTAATTCATGCTCTATTTTTAACATAATAGAAAACTTTTAGGATGGGATTCATCTCACCTAGTGTACCCATCAAGAAGCTAAGCACTTAGGCTAAGCTACTTTACTGGCTCTCACTGTGAGTATGCAGAAATTCCTCTGGACTTTTTTCCCCACTTACCTAAGAAGCCCTACTGACTCCTCTCCATTGCTTATCAGGAGGGATTAATGACCCTTATACTGAACACCTCCATGTTGTATTTAATGTGAACTCCATAAATGTCTAGCTTCTGATCTTTTACTTTGCCAGCTAAAATAACATTTCCTGAAGATGTAGGATATTCATATTCAAATTCCCCTGTTAATTCCTTTGAAAGATGGCAACATAAAAAACAGTTGTTGTTCTAAATGCTTGTAAATCAGGAAACTGCTGAGGCCAGGAAATACAGTGATAATGCAAATTTGCATTCTCCTATATTCTGGACGGAAGTCATGCAGAAGAATACCATAAACATTTTGACTGACAGTAAAAACTAACCAGTTAGCAATCCCATAGAAGGCAGTGCATTCTTCACAGGGACTTGAGCAGTGCTTCTGAACTAGTTCAAAATCTTGTATGGATAGCTACTAGATAAAGTTGTCACCACACACACAGGGTCAGTATTCCCACAGGAGCAAAAGAGGCAAAAAAAATCCACTACAGTTGTGCTTCCCTTTCAAAAAGGAGATTTATGTGAAAATGAGGAAGCTCATTAAAAAGAAACTAAAAGGGACAGCCAAGAGAATTAAATCCTTGCATGCAGCTTAGATGCTGCTTAATAACAGTGTACTGGAAGCATAGGACCAATGCATAATGCCTGATTGTAAAGATTTGTGAAAGGATAGAAACCATTTAGGGCAGCTAAATAGTAGGGCAGGAAAAGTTGCTAATAGCAAAATAATTTCCTTTAAAAATTGAGGCCAAATGAAGAAAATAAAAAACCATTAAGTTCTGGTGAATTTTGAACATAATGTGGTGACTAAAAAGAGCTTAAACTGATGTATCTTCCAAACTTGAAGAAGAGAAACATCTGCTGATGATGCAAAGGCATTCAGAGTGGAATGGATAAAAGGCAACTAAAAGCAATTGTAGTTACACCTTATGCTGAGTGACTGGGCTGTGCAGTGGCACATAATATATATTAGATGAGGAACACTGTAAAATAATCCTTTTCACATTTTAAACAGTAGCATCTATGGTGATTGCCTTCACTCAGGAGGAAGCTTATTTTGTCTTGCAGTTTGTGCATTATGGAGAGACAGCTGTGCCTCTGGTGGTCAGTGCAAATCTTTTCTAGGATGACTGAGCACTCAAGGGGCGGATGGTTTTTGCAGTTGCGATCTTTTTTTGTTGTTTTTGCCTCTGTCTAGTTTTGTTTTTCTGATGAAACAACAATACTGCTTTTGAGAACCTCTTGCTGCATTTTTGTTTATTTGTATTTGCTCTTTCTGTTTTTCCATCTGTCTTTCAACTCAGTTCCCCAGGAAATCAACTCCTCTTCCTATAAATTCTATCTAACCAATCCAGTGGGAGCATAGTTTGCGTTATTTAAGAAAGAAAGATTCCCACTGATGAGATGAGTGTCATTTGGAGTCAGCTGTTGATTACCTGGTGTTTTGCGTCTCTAGAGGCTGCTGGAAAGCAAAAGATGTATTCTGTATTTTAATCTTTGGAGCATTAAAAGGAGTTAATTCCTTAGCTGTTCAGAATCCTTTAAATCCTGAGGTTCTCCACGTTGTCTCTGGTATTCAGGTTTGTTTCTTAGTATTTTCTGTTCATCCAAATTTATTGGCTGTTCTATGGCTGGTGAGGATTTACACTGCGTTTTTTCCTCATTTATTTTGCAGGAAAACATTCTTACGTTTTTTCCACTTTCAGGTTTTATACTTGTCACTTTTCCTCTGCTGATTGCTCTCTGCTCTTCAGATCGTTCATGAATGAGGTCTGATGGGGCTTTCAGGACTGATACCTCTGTGCTGACAATGAGAGAGTTATTGTATTCAATACCATATATTTGGTTTTGAAATCCTTTTTTATTCTCACAGAACCAACTGTTCAGTCAGTTGCCCATTAATGGTAGACCACCTTGTATCATATTTATTTAAAAAACTATGGGAATACTGTTAACCAAAATGGCAAAATTGGAATACATTCAATCCAAAGAGATTTCTCCCCTCTGCATTCAAGGCATCAAAATTATTCTTCCATCAAAACATAACAATTGTTATGAATGATATCATAATACTGTGAACTGCTTAAGAGCTTCCACTTTAAAACTGTAATGGGCCATGCAGACAGAAGGAAAAAAAAGGCTAAAAGCATAAATTGAAGATAATCAATGTGAATAGACCTTACCCATTGTGCAGTTTGAATAGGATAAGCACACATTATCTGGCATAATTGGCTCATGTGATTTTTCTAATTGAAGAGAAGAAGTAATTAGAGCCTAATTGAAGCAAAGTAACACAATATCTGTCAGCATTTCTCCTTCCACCACACATTACATTATTACCTGTCATCTTTTACTTTAGTGGGACTAAAATAAAGAGAAGAAAAACCCAATATAAAACCTTTTGGAGTTTTCCTACCCAAACAAAGGTACATACGAAAGACAATAAAAACAGACAAGACTGGGATTAACTGTGTACGCTTGTATGCTTCTAAAAGAGGTGTGTTTCATTTGCCTAATAAAGAAATAAATTGCATTTTGTAAAATTATATTATAAATTCAGACTTACTGAATGTTATGAAGAAAAATGCCTGTATGATATTTCATTTGACTCAAGGCTTTGTACATTCCAGTTTATACTTCTAAAGCGACAGTTTTGCAGTTCGCAGTGAAAAAGATATGGTTGCTCTTAGTAACATGAAGAACACCTTTGCAATCTTCTCTGGTGAAATTTGTATATGGAAAAATTTTATTCCATAAATTGTCTAACACAAGAAGTGCAATCACTGCTGTAGTGGGAATGCTGAGTCATGGCTTAAATCAGTGATTGAGCACCTGGTAGGAAGGCAGGGCCAACCCAGGGGAGCTCAGCTGCATGCAGTGCACCTAAATGACTGGAAGGGACGGAGCCAGGATCTGCCCCTTCCCAGACTCCATTTAAGGGTTGGCATTTGAGGTGACAGTATATCATCTGGAGATCTCTGCTAACCTGAGGATCTTATAGGCCTTCTGAAAGTAAGCAGTCTCTCTTATTTTTGTGTCCACTACAGTTGTGTCTGGGTGGATCCATACTTGTTGTGATCTGGGACCTTGCTGCTCTGCTGTCTTCTTGCGCTTTCTGTTATGTTACAATCACCAGTGTATAAAAGAACATGTAAACCTGTACTTGGAAGTTTTCTGTGAGACGCTTGGAATAGGGTGAGAGGGTGCAGCAGGTGTCCTACATCTCTTGGGAATAGAAACAAGCTGTGGGACT